GGATTGAGGGGTTTAGGGGTTTAGGGGTTTAGGGTTTAGGATTTAGGGTTTAGGGGTTTAGGGTTTAGGGGTTTAGGCGTTTAGGGTTGTAGGGTTTTAGGGTTTGGGTGTTTAGGGTTTAGGGTAGGGTGTCTTGAGGCTATATCACAGGGTTTGACAAGGTTTGGGCGCAGGGCTCCCAGAGACAAGTGTGCAGACATATTCTCGGCTGGGTGCTCCGGTTTCCTTCGTTGAGGTTTTGTGTTGTAGGGCTTCCGGGATGTATTCCCTAGGTCCTCGACCCTAACCCTAAACCGAAAGGCGTAAACCCTACGACACCCTCAGCTAAGAATCCAGAGCCCGAGCACCAAATTCATAACAATTGCAACCCCTCAGCTTAGGACCTCCGTGCCCAAAGAGGCCACACAAGGCCATGCGCGGGCGCCCGAGATGGGTGTAAGTCTCAGGTCGACATCCTTCGCCCGGAAGCAGGGTGTAGGGTTTAGGGTTTGGTCCTACGGTTGATGATAGAAATCCTGCATTACCCATAATAAGGAAGAAACCATAATTCCCATAGTTTAGGGTCCTACCCTAAACCCTAAACCCTTAAGGTAATGCAGGGTTTATATCATCAACAGCAGCTAGTATTAGGGAGACCCCTTTGAATTGGACCCTTCTTAACCCTACTTATGGCTCTCTTAACGGGGACATGATTGCGAGGGTCTATATCCCCAAGGGTGCCTTCTGATCCGAACTCTTGTCTACTTAGGTTGAGGGTTTATATCCCCAAGAGTGCCTTCTAATCGTAACTCTTGTCTACTTACGTAGGTTGAGTGTCTGAGGATTGGAGGTTCAGGGTGGCGGTGTCACTTTCGGACAGGCAGGGCTGACTGGGTTTGGCACGTTCGCAGTTTGAGGCTTTCTGCGCTTGGATTTGGGGCTCCGGTGCCCACTGAAGACAACCTGAGGGAGGTCAGCAAGATGTTTCAGGGATCCCTTTACTGGTCGAGTCCTCAACATTTAGGGTTTAGGGTGTGCTCGGACTTCGAGGCAAAACAGCCAGCGATATGAGACGGCTTCCGGTTTAATTGCAAAGCGGCCACAGAATAAAGTCATGTTTCATACTCAGGATCTCTGAATAGAGCCATCTAGAGCTCTGCAAATCTGCAGGGCACCTCTAAACCCTAAACCCTAAAGCTCTAAACCCTAAACCCTAAACCCTAAACCGTAAACCCTAAACCGTTTCGGATCCGCCATGGGCGGATACTGGCCCCGGGTCTCTCCCCAATCAGAAACCTTCAAGAATGTTTCAATGCTAAGAGCCTCGTTTAGGGTTTAGGGTTTAGGGTTTAGGGTTTAGGGTTTAGGGTTTAGGGTTTAGGGTTAGACCTTAAATCCGAGACTTGACACCCTTCAGATCCTAATCCAAAACCTATACACCCTAAGCTCTTTAACCTCAAACCCCTTGTAGCCCGAAGCCTCTTGGCACACAAGGTGGAACTTCCACGTCGACACACGCGCACTGACCAATGTGGCATGGTCCCAGGCCACATCCATGTCAGTTGCTGGGGTTTTGTGGGGCCGGCGGCTACTGTAGTGGCCTTAATAATTAGAATAAGGTTTTGGGGTATCTTATACTATAATTATAATAAGGAGCCCCTTAAACCCAATTCTAACTATTAAGGCCCCTACATTAGCTCTTCTAGACATTTTAACTGCATTGATCTTGAACTTCCTCTTGTTCCAAGCCCGTAACTCGTATCCCCCCATGTCTGAATCAGCCCAAACCCGAAGCCTGTAGCATAAGCCCCAAGCTAAAGTAGCTGGACTCAACAAACCTAAACCCTAAACCCTCAGCCTTAAACCCTAAACCCTAAACCCTAGACCCAAAGCCCTAAACCCTAAACCCTAAACCCTAAACCCTAAACCCTACGCCCGAAGCCCTAAGCCCTCCTGACTCCACAGCGGGAAAGGCGAAGATGCAGCTGCGGGACCCAACCATGCTCCAGCACATTTCAGAGGAGGTGCTGCGCTGAGTTGGGTGGGTTTAGGGGTTTTAGGGTTTAGGGTTTAGGGTTTAGGATTCAGGGTTCAGGGTGTAGGGCTGAGGGTTCAAAAGTTTTCCGCTTAAAGAGTTGAGGGAAGCAGGTCGCAGGAAGGCGTTGCTGTTTCGAGTTTCCGGCCGCATGCGCCGAAGCAGGATGAGCTTGACTCTCTGTGGTAGAGGGTCACCCTTATTCAGCTACCGTATTAGTACCTACTTTTTTGTGGGATCATACTGTACACCCCAATACAGACTCCTTAGGGGCCATACAGAATAGTGCATTTTGGCAAGGTTAATGCCCTAAACCCTAAACCCTAAACCCTAAACCCTAAACCCTAAACCCTAAACCCTGGGTAGGGCTCAGATCCCCCCCCCTCCAAAAGCACGTTGAAGAGCTCCAAAGGACGGCCATTCCACAAAAACCTCAAACCCTACGTACGCCTTAATCCGTCTTAACTCCTAAGCCCTACTCGACAAATTCGCAAAGTAGTTCATCCTGAGATTTGCCCTGCTTGCTTATGCGGCAACAAGCGTTCCGAACACTTGGTTTGGGTTCAGATATACTGCTCGTGGACGAAATCCTGCATCATCCGCAGGAAGCAATTTTGCCGAATTGCCACACCTCCGGATGCTGAGTATGTAGTGCAGGATTTTGCAATATCTTGTCCGTCACCTGTAGAGGTGCGGCTGACATGTTTGGGCTTCTCGGAAGTATTCAGGTTTTCCGACTCCAAAAGCTCCATGCAACTCAACATCTTCCGTACCTCCTAGGCTCCTGTTATTTGCAGCAGCCACCATGCATCTACTTCAGACCACTGAACCACAAATTCCGCAGACTACGCCGCAATGCAAGTGTGTCGGCATGGTGCTTCAGACTCTTCTTGGGACCTCGCGCGCAGCCTTCATGGTGTACGGAATGAAAAGTGCTAGGGAATTGGGGCTCGCAAGCAGCTGATCTCCACTTCTAAACCCTAAACCCTAAACCCTAAACCCTAAACCCTTAACCCTAAACCCTAAACCCTAAACCCTAAACCGTCACACACTGAAGCTCACACCTCAACCTTTGTCACCCGTCTTGCACCCAAAGATCCGGAGCCCTCAACCCTAAGCACTCAAGGTCACAGCGAGGGTGAAGCAGTGTACGGCGCAACAAATTGTCGGGTGGCCCAGATTCAGTAGGATCCGATGGGAAGTCAGACCAGGAACAGTTTGGGTTTGGGTTTCAGGGTTTAGGGCCTCGGGTTTAGAGTTTAGGGTTTAGGGTTCAGGGTTTAGGGTTTAGGGTTTAGGGGTTTTAGGTTTCCTACACCCCTAAACGGTGTGGCCTCTGGATAGTCTGTGGAGGTTCAGC